ACTTAAATAATGAACAACAAATAAAGATTTATCTGTAAATCTGTATTAATCTCTAATTTCAGGGTTCATTCATTTGTTGTGTTATAAAAATGTGCTCATCACAATACACTATAAGATATCTGATAATTCAGCGATCAAATCATATCTAAAAATAATTTATGGATATACATATAGATATATTAATAATTAATATGTTCTATAGGAGAACAAGTTGAGTGCCAAATTATAAAACTTATAATCATGTAAACATTTCATTCATTTGACACCATTGATTCACAATCTGTTTAAGTATAAAGAAATCTGAGTGTTTACCAATGTTATTTACTACACAATCAAACCAAAGGCACAACCCGTATACTGTATAGAATTGTGAATACAAAAATAAATTTTGTTGAGTAGTCAACAGCGTACCCCAACACCTTGTTACCATGCTTATTTTTATGATTGCAGTCATCAAATAATTCGCTTTATGTGTTTTCAAATTCCAGTTTTTAACAATTACTTAAACAAGCTATAATATAACTATTAAACATTTTCTATAATTGTAATTAAATGGCATGAGGTATGAATTTCTGAATAAAGATTGTAAACAGACATCCTTAATTTTATAAGGTTGAGCTTCAATCAATTTCTACATTAATTATGACTGATTTTTCTTCTAAAAAATTATTTATACTTACTTGCTATAAATTATTATATCGTAAACTTGGTAATATATATTTATTGTTATAAAACATAAAAAAAAGTCACAATAATATAAAAATATACCCACACAATAATTTAAAAATATAATGTAATAAAAATATAATTTACAATAAAAAAATTGAATTCCAAATAAAATGTTTGTTTCAGAACAAAAAATTTTCTTATAAAATAATACTGAATCAAGTAAAATATTTGTTGATAATTTTTTTGTTTTCTCTGCAGTTGTTGTGATTGATACACCATTAAACAATGTTAATTAAATATTACATTTTGGTTTTCAATAATAATGTGTAATGCACTTATGTCGCGATTCATGTCTGGTATTGTACCTTTGAAATCAATTAAATCAGGCATCGGCATAAGAGTTGGTGCAAAAACGGTGCTGAGATTTTGAGCAGTCATTTTATTTTCATCTAATCGTAAAGTCACCCTAAAAATAAAAGGATAAAATATGTTATTTAATAAGTTATTACTTTGACTTCTCAAGTACAGATATATCATATATATATAT